CCTATTTGCCCGCACCAAATGCCAGCTCATCAGAATGTGCTGCGTATAGCAGTGTTTTGGTGGTTGCGGATGTGGTCGAAGTGAACGTAATTACGGGTGCCGGCATGGGTTCGCTTGTTGTGCATGCGGTCGAAATGAACGTTATTATGGGTGCCGGCATGCATTCGCTAGTATCTTGTTTCGCTGTAAATAACAGTAACCTTGCAGTTGTCGAAGTATCTATACGGATGCTTTGACCTTGGATGCGCACGTAACATGAAGATGCTGCGGGCAAACAGGGGGGGGGTCTGGGTAAACATAGCTGTTGCAAGGCAACCTTGAGTTAGGAGCTTCCTAAGATTCGGGTTATACTGCCCCACGTAGGGCTGTATGAGCCATAGTCTAAATTCCGATGTTCCCTCTTAATACCCCCTATATAATCCCCTATGTACCTACCCTTTAAAGAATTTAAACTCTAGGTTCTATAGGTCTGTATAGGGACAAGGTACTACTTAGGTGTTAACGTTCAGGGATGAGGGATGTACTATTGTAATAGTTGAGAATCAAATGGAAAAGGAAGTGGAACATGAAATGGAAGCTGGAAATATGCAGAGTAGCTTGTAGGGACTACGTGGTTTTCCCAAAATTGGGAGTGCCTTTGTGGAGATATATAGGATTGTAGTGTGTTGGGGTCTATAAAATATTTTATCCCCCCCCCATTATGGAAACTACCACATCCAAAGCAGGTCACTGCAAGGCTCATGCCGCTGTTGGGGTCTATCTTGGTAGTTTCTGTTCTCTTCAAATTCTCCCTTCTACCCTAAACCCTAACACCCCAACCCCCTAAACCCCAAACCCCTAAACCCTAAACCCTAAACCCCTAAACCCTAAACCCTATAACCATAAGGTCTGAAGAGGCCTTGTACCAGATCTCGAACTGTCTGCTCGAGGTCCTTGGCCGGCCTTGCACCCACTGCAGTGTGGTTTAGGGTTTAGGGTTTGGGGGTTGGGGGGTTTAGGGGTTTGGGGGTTGGGGGTTGTGGGTTTAGGCTGTCGGGGTTTGGGGTTTAGGGTTTGGGGGTTTAGGGTTTTAGGGTTTAGGGTTTGGGGGTGTAGGGTTTAGACGAGGGATCCATTTGCAAACCGACGTCGGCTACGGCAAACAGGGGCACCAGTCAAAGCTGCGTGCACAAGTCATATAATGTCAAGAGTACAGCAGTTCATGCACTGAGCCGTGCTCGTGTTGGATGGCGCTGCTTGCTCTTTCACCTCGCGGAGGACAGCGTTATCTGCTGGCCGCATGCATTTCAGCTGGTGAAAGTATAAGGGTTGCAAGGCGATAATGGAGAATCAAATGGAGGAGACTCAAAATGAAATGGAATCTGGGAGGAGATTATGAAGCGTCATGGAATTCTGCAGGTTTTGCCTTGTAGTTCGCAGGCTGCCACCTGTGACAAAGGCAATACCGTGCAAGGGGGTTGATGCCAGCGATTCTCTCAGGCTAGGATTACCGGCTGCCTGCGATTCAGAATCACTGAGGCCCAAGAGGAAAAAATCAGGAACCATTCAATCGGAACAACTACCTAAACCCTAAATAGTAGTTTCCATTTTGTTTCCCACTATCCCTATACCCTAAACCCTAAACCCAACGTAACCCCAATAATGGAGTCATAGGGCATCCTGCAGCAGCGGTGCTCTGCATGACAGGTCCATGGAAGTCGCTGGCCTTCTCGTTCTGTAAGATGGGGAGGACACATCCTGCAGTAGTGAGTAGGTGAGTCGACTGGCTACAGCTGCTCATGTTCATGCAAGGACATGAAGCCCAAAAACTCTAACCCCATAAAACCCTAAATAGTAATGTCCATTTTATTTTCCAGTATCCCTATATAATCCCCAATATATCCCCAATGTAACCCCGATATAACCCTAAACTCGTTCCCAACTTCCGGCTTCCAAGGAAACCCTGTCCTCCTCGTCCTCGTAGTCATCCTCGTCATCTTCATCCATGTCTTCCTCATCCTCATCGTCCTCTTCATCCTCATCCTCTCAGTCGTATAGGAAGCAGCTGAGGGCTGTGGGGGAAAGCTTGGAGCTCAAGTCCCCTTGTGCCTCCCCTAGAAACCTAACCTTTGAGTTTAGGGTTATAGTGGATTTATATTGGGGATACATTGGGGGTTATATAGGGATAATGGAAAATGGAAACTACTATTTAGGGTTTAGGGTTCAGAGTTGTTGGCACAGTACCAGTACCCTCCATGTCACAATGTCAGTAGGCTCCTACAAAATAATTTACAAGGAATCCCCCAAACGCTAAAACCCTAAACCCTAAACCCTAAACCCTAAATCCCACAAGGAATCCATGCTGGGGGAAAGAACCACGGCTGCCTCGTCACACTCCTCATCCTCAAGTTCCTGCAGACACTGAATAAGGGTTTAGGGTCTAGGGTTTAGGCATTTAGGGGTTTAGGGTTTAGGGGTTTAGGATTTGGAGTGTAGGATTTCTCGGTTACAATCTACTTGGAAGGTCCGATAAACAGGGGGACCTTGTAAAAAAGCTTATGTACCCCACGGTCCGCCCTTACTGTAGATATGCCAAAACAAAGGATCCCCCCCCTCATTCTTGGAAACGCATACTTAATAACTCTAATGATGCCCTGCTTGTACCTGTGGCTATCAGCCTTACACGACCTGTAAAGGAATGCAAGCCCTCAAACCCTGAACATTCCCATCTCTAAACCCTAAACCCTAAACCGCGTGGCAAGCGGCCTCTTCTTCGACAGCTTGTCTCCTGCCGCCTCAGTTCCAGGGACAACGGTGACCCGGCCCTCATGTACACCCCTCATCTCTGTCGATTTCTGTACGACTGTGCCAGTTACCCCGGTGAGAAAGCTCAACTAGCAATGGATGCTAAAGAAATCTTCACTATTCCCTCAGAATGCGCACCTTTGAAAAAAAGTACAGAAGCTTTCATGCAACTCTGCGGCCTTCACCAAGAATCTGCCACGACTGGGATGCCTACCGCCTTCACACACGAGGCTAAGGCAAGGACAGCCCTTTAACTTCCATATCGCCCGGAAGTCTCTTGTGTTTCTGCGTCTCCGAACCTCGCGAAGAACTTGCCGACCATGCAGGGACTCAACAACAGGTCTCTTAGTTTCTAGACCCCAATATGGGCCCTAAAGCGCTAGAGTTCACCCCCAAGAAGGGGCCCCCGTAAACCCGAAACCCCACAAATGATCCTACGCTTCGGCTCTGGGTCCCAGAGCCGGCTGACAGGGGGGACGACGGCCGTGGATGCCGGGCAGACCTTAAACAAAATGGAATCCTTTGCCTTATGTAGCATTCAACCTTACTAGTGATTAGTAAGGAATGGAAGCATGGGTCCCTAAAGTAGTCCCACTTAGCCCATCTCTTATGATTATTTCTGTATCCTATTCCTTCATTCCCGACCGAAGCACCAGTGTTTTGTGACATAAGTCTGAAGTGTTGGACGCATGCGAATCGCCAGCGACGGAGCTTGCACGGAGACCTGCGATGCAAAAGTCGCGCACATATGGGTCTCAAATCGTATGCCCAATGCATTTATATTGTTTGTATGTATGTATGTATGTATGTATGTATGTAGGTCGGTCGGTAGGTGGGTATGTATGTACGTATAGAGAGCTTGCTGGAAGTTGGCGGCTCTTGGTTGCGCCTGTTTCTCGGTGAGCCCACAGACATCGCACCACACCTCAGCAACATACATGGAAGATTGTCAAAGTGATGGTGCTTTGTGGGGGTGCCCTACATATTGGAGGCAATTTTTCTTTCGATGGGAACCCGAACTCAAAAAACAATCATAATTTGCCATAATTGTGACAACCGCTCACACGCGTCTTTGGTCAGAAAACTCACTGGTTCTTAGTGGGAGATACGGAGATATAGTCCCCACATGATCCCTATCCCTATATACTATATTCCTTTAGTAAGATAGTCCAAGGATGTCTGCCCAACCCAGTACAAAGAGGTCGAGGCAGATTCTGTGAGGATCTGGAGTGGCCCATTCACCTGCAAGAAGGCTGGCTACAGTCAATATTCTGGGTTGCTGTTAAGGGACTTAAAAGTAAGCTACGATAATACGGAAACCTCATCATGTACTAAATAGCCATAGTATGGCAACTTATCTTAATCTAAGTCCCTTAACAGCAACCTGGTATTGCTGATACTAAAAGATCTGTGCGACCTCTAACATAAACTAGAGTACCATGATTATTTAGGTCCAAAATCCTGAAATTCATGCAGGATTCAGTCCGCAGCCGTCTTGCCTATGTAGGGACTTGACAGAGGGGGGGCTTCTTGGCAGGAATGTCGGGGCTTGTGTTAGTTTTGGCAGAAGAGGAATAGCTCCTGTAGCAAACCGCCCTAAACCCTAAACCCTAATTCCTGACAGCCAAGACTTCAGGATACTGTAAGCGCCAAGAAGCATGACATTGATTTTAATGTGAACCTAACTATATGGTTGCCTCCCTGAACATGTAAGAGTGTTTTTTCTTGTTGTTGTTTGGTCTTTGTTGTTGTT